ATCTAATCTTTAAACATTCTTTGGACTGTTATTGTTATTTTTGCTGGCTTTAAACATTGTTTGGAGCTTCTTCATGCGAGGAAACAAGCTATTTATCCTCGTGTGGCCCGTCAACAAAACCTTCAGTGTTGTGAATTGAAACTGTGTTCTCTGACAAACAGTAGATGTCATTTAAATGTAGGAAAGGTGATTCCTGAGGCCACTTCCTCTGTTTACAGTGGTTGGGATTTTATGCTCAATTAAGCTTATAAACTCACATTTATCCACCATTCACTTAGAGCAGAAGGATCCTCTATGATTTAAGAAGCAAAGCTCCAAAAAGAAGGATCTTTTCAACTACATTGTCATTTATAGTTGGCTTTAAACATCGTTTGATTTTAAAACCTTACCTAGTCTCGTATTTCTTGTCCATGAACAGGTAATTAATGCAGAAGGCGTTGGATTTCTCTGTTGATGGCGTTCCCTTCTGCTGACACCAGAAAACAAAGAATCCCAGTTAATCAGCAGCAAAAACACCTGTGCACGTCTCACCTGTGGAGATCCTGCTGTTGCGTGTTTTTTACCCCGTCTGCTCCCAGCCCGAATCCCCATTTCCCCTCATGTTTCCATTCAATTCAATTCAATTTGAGCATATAGCACCAAATAGTGCAAAACCATATCACTGGTCAATCAAACTCCTATATTTTCTTAGGGGGTCTTTATTTCACGTTGTATTTATATTCTTATTCCTTGCTTATTTGTACTTAACTTAGGGGTTTTTACTTTTTACTTTTTACTTTGTATTCATATTCTTATTTTTTGGCTATTCACATTTATTGTGTAAAAAACATTTCCTGTACTTAATCTATATCTTTTGTATTTTTTTGCATTTGGCCCTCTGTGTGCCACTTTTTTAACCCTGTAAGCTTCTGGTAACTTTAATTTCCTGAGGGAGTCTATTATATCATACTATATTATATTATATTATATTATATTATATTATATTATATTATATTATATTATATTATATTATATTATATTATGTTATATTATATTATATTATATTATATTATATTATATTATATTATATTATATTATGTTATATTATATTATATTATATTATATTATATTATATTATATTATATTATATTATGTTATATTATATTATATTATATTATATTATATTATATT